TGTTTCGGTGTGAAGTCAAATTGGTTGATGAAGTACATCCATCTGGATTGGACTGGTAGCCCCGAATGAAATGTCGCTGAAGTTCCTCGTCGAACACGAAGGCATGATGTGTCATAGCGCAAAGATCGGGTCTTCGCGAGAGTGCATCTGCTACGCGATTGGAAAGGTCGGCGAGATGTTTCGGTGTAAAGTCAAATTGGTTGATGAAGTACATCCATTGTCCGATAGTGTTGCTCACCGTATCTCGCGTCTTGTAGTAGGTCAACGGGTTGTTATCCGTGACTCATGTGAACCTACGATGCCCAAGGAGGAAGTGCCACCAGCGCTTGAGAGCCATCACGAACGCGAGTAGCTCCTTCTTCCTTGCATCATCAAGTGAGTTGATGGGAGGCACTTTGTGGCTGAAACACTCCACGAGGTGCCAATCGTTGCCGTCATGTTGTTCCAAGACTGCCCCAATGCCATAGCCGGAAACGTCAGTTGTCACTCTCGTTGGCAAGGTGGGCTCATAGATCCTAAGGACGGATGCCATGAGCATGGCCGTCTTGAGTGCTTGGAATGACCGCCGTGCTTCGTCATCGAATACGAATGGCACCTTTGGTGATTGTAGTCTCGTCAATGGTGCGGCTATCCTTGAGTACCCGGTGATGAAGCGTTGGTAGTAGCCCGCCAACCCCATGAATGAGCGAACTGTCGTGGTGTTGGTGGGCTCGGGCCATACTCGGATGACCTCGATCTTGTCCGCGCGCGGACAGATGCCTTGCGGCGTCACAAAATGGCCCAAGTACTCGAGCTCTTGCCGCACGAATTTGCATTTGTCACGGTTGGCTTTGTACTTGGCTTGTCGTAGTCGTGCCAAAACGGTGCGCATGTGCTCCACATGCTCGTCCAAACTCCGGCTGTACACCAAGATATCGTCGAGGTAGACGAGTACAAATTTGTCCAGCATGTGTCGGAACTCCGTTGTCATAGCCGCCTGGAACGTGGCCGGGGCATTTGTAAGGCCAAAAGGCATAACCAACCATTCGAAATGCCCATATCGCGTCTTGAACGCGGGTCTTGTAGCGGTCCTCCTGCAGGATCTCGAGTTGGTGATATCCCGATTTGAGGTCGAGCTTGGAGAAAAATTGAGCGCCGCCCAGCCATTCGAGAAGGTCGTCGATGCGCGAAAGAGGGCTGATGTTCTTGACGGTTTGCGCGTTGAGCTTGCGATAATCGCTGCACAACCGCAAGTCCTTGTTCTTCTTCCGGACGAAGAGAACGGGAGCACTGTATGGCGAAGAGTTAGGCCGAATCCAGCCTCTCTCCAGAAGGTCGTCAAGTTGTGCACGTAGCACACTTGACTCTTCCTCGCTCATGTGGTAGATGCAACCACGCAGAGGTATGGCCCCGTCCTCGAGGATGATCTCGTGGCGAATGGGCCGATCCGGTACTACTCCGTGTGGGGCTTCGAACACGTCGCCGTAGGCGTCTAGAAGCTCGGTGATGCATGGGTCCGTTTATGCGTCTGTCGATGGAATGTCGTGGGGAGGGAGGGCGTGGAGAAAATAACCCCCCATCTCCTGGATGTCGGCCCTGGTGATGGAAGCTCAAATGCTTGCGGCGAACACCACGTGGCAGCTGATCGAAGGGTGAGGTGGAGGCACCATGCATGGACCTAGTACTCCGTTCCGATCACGAACGTGAATGGTGCGGCGGTAGAAGTTCACCGGGTGATTCTCGCTTCGCAGCCATTACATGCCCAAAATCATATCGGACTTGGTGTCCAAAATGTCGAAGGACACAACCTCGCTTGCATGCGGGGCGAAGTACACGGGGACGAAATCAATGCACCGGTCGATTGACTTGTGCGTGTGCCCGTCGGCCAATGTGACTTGCGTGGGCTCCGACTTCCTCCAAACGTGTGGGCCAAGGCCAGCGCGTACCATAAAGTCTTGGCTCATGTAGTTGCGAGTAGCACCGCAATCGATCAAAGCGCTGCAGGTCGCCTCTCCGATCTGAATGAGTATGTACAACAATCGCGCGCCGATGTCGTCGTACCGTTGTGCCTTGAACTCGCGGTCGATCTTCGCAACATAGTCATGAAGGTCAACAACCTCTACCCCGACGTCCATCAACGGAGCTGGTACTGCGGTGTGCAAGTAATCCCTCAATTGTGCCATGAGCACGTTGCAATGCGGTTTCGACAATCGACCGGTCGGGGCTGCTACCGAATCGGTTGCCGATGGTGGTGAAACCGTGCATGCGGTGGATTGTTGCACGTGGAGTGGCTGGTCCAACGGTGGGACCAAGTGGACAACGTAATCCTCGTAAGTGAACCGAGGACTCACGACTTCCACATTCTCTCCAGATGTGTAGGAGGCCGCTAGCAAGGCGGCAGAAGCTGGCGGAGTGAGAGGTGGAGTCGCCTCACCTCCCGCGCAACTCAGTTTCCCGAGTTGATGCGAGGTCAAACATCCTCCTTGCCTTGATCCGAGAATTGGGAGGTCTTGTGCTTGGTGTTGTTGCACAAATAGCACCAGCCATACCGGCTGCGCCACTTGTATTCGCCTCGGTCAAGTGAAACTTGACCCATGGTACTGGCTGTGTGTTTCCTGCTGGCGATGCTGATTTCGCCTTCCCTTTGTTACGGGAGTTGTTGTTGCTTTGCGGCTGGACGGCGGCCACCTGATCTCCCTCACGTGATGCTTGGTTGGCTGCTGGGTCTTCCACAATGGTGTCCGTTTGGACTGCAGCGACATGCTGCTGACGAGGACCAAATTTTCCCTTCTCCACATAGGCTGGCTGCCACGCCCACTTCTCGTGTGCAGCAGCCCGGTTGGTCTTGATGATCTCTCACGCCTTGTCGATAATTTCGACAAAGGTCGTGTACTGCTCACGATCACCGAGTGCGAGACTCAAGGCGGCACACGACCGGTTGTAGAACTCTCGGCGCAGATGCAAAAATGGCAACTGGAGATTGGGCATTGCCACGATCTTTTGCCATTCCGTGAGCCAATCGCGTGTCGGTGTGTTGCCTTGGGTCATGGTGAAGAGGCGGTTGATGGCGAGCGTCGGGGTGTCATCGACGATGAACCGCTTCTTCCATTCTTTCGTTAGATCTTCCCAGGAGATTTTCTGGTATAGATGGTTGACCTGGATGTCGTGGATGGTTGCCATGTGGCTGAGCCAGATCTGGCATCCGCCCTTGACGTTGAGGAACAACGCCGAGATGAACGAGTATTCGAGGACCTCGTGAATCCCAAGCTCCATTGTAAAACCGTCCCACTAGACGACTGGGTCTTGATGCGTATGGTCGTCAAATTTCTCGATCCTGAACGTTGGCATCTTGTAGTGCTTTGATGTGCTGCGATCATTGTCGGGCAGCTGGTGCAGCTGCCTGAGTTCGGTCTGCAAGGTGCCGAGCTGCTCGCTGATGGTGGCTGGTGCGGCGAAGGTGCTGATGTCGCCGAGCATTGCGACTACATGATCAGCTCGTTCCTCCAATTGGCGGGTAGAGGATGCATTGCTGGACTCGCCAGCATCTGGTCTTGGTGCGGCCTGCTCCAAGTCCTGTACATGGGAATGAAGTGCCCGTGTAGCATCCTCGTGCAGATCCTTGTGGTTCTGCATTGCCCGTCGGAGACTTAGAAATTCCTGGTGCTGTTTCTCTAACTCGGACTGTTGGTGGTTACAAGCGTAAACCAACCGTGTGAAGAGTTTGGAGAAAAACTCCTTATGCTGCTCTTCCGGTGTTGCGTTGTCCTGGCCGGCGGATGGTTCAAAATGCCAGAACTTGAGCTTGTCGATGCTGGTGGCTTCGTGATGCTGCAGCAGCTCTTGGGCCTCCCTCCGGAGGGCCTGGGCATCTGCTTCTGCTTCGGCCTGGAGCCGCTGCTTTTCAGCTGCTGCCTCTGCTTCAGTCTGTAGGCGGGCAGCCTCGGCTGCCACCTGGCGCTGTACCTCAGCCTCGACCAGTGCGAGCTGAGCTAGCAACCACTGATGGTACTCGTCAATGGACTCGTCGGCCAGTTGGCCCGGCATGCCCAAAGCTGGAACCGTCATGGTGGATGGCACTGTTGGTACTGCTGATGTGGCACTGTTGCTGACGTGGCACTGCTGACGTGGCACTTACCAAACCGGGAATGCAGGCAAAGGGTTGGGTGGGAGGGAAAACGCAGGTAGGTAACCAACCAAACTATACTTTCCTCCCGGTCCTAATCAACAGA